TCCACCCTGATATGTGTGTTAAGTATGTTATTTTCCTTGTCTGACAAATTTCTGCTATTTTAAAATTACTACTAGAACAGCTTCTCTGGCTCAAACCCAGCTATGCTGCCATCCTTACTTTTTCCCATCCTGGCTTGCTCTCATACTCCCAACAAAATCCTTGTTTGCAGGAAATAGATATTTGATCCCTATTTCCTTCCTTCAGTTCTAAGCTCTTAAAGAGGACGTATGAGTCAGTGACCCTCCCAGTAATATATCATCATCTACATAGTCATATCCAGCCCTTTGCTTTCCCATTACAGTTTCCCTCCAGTCTTGACTTTGACATGATTCTGCATGATCATGAAAAGGGTAGTTGGTAAGAGGTTGTAAGCACATTCAGTTTCCATGATTGCTTTATAGCACCTCAGCCTTCTTGCTAACATGTCTTTGCTTCATACATAGTAATATATTCTAGACCTGGCTTTAGAAATCTCTTGTAAAACATCTGAGCAGCTTGTAATTTTCCTAGGTGACCTGTATAAATTCAACTCGTTCTCTTTGTAAGGACTTGCTTCCTTTCTGAAATTTACCAAAACCATAAAACAAGGACCTAAATTTGAGGTGGATTGAAAATGCAGGAAACCCTAACATTCTGTGTGATTTCTCAGTTATTCTGTGATCTGGGGAACTGAGGTTAACACCCACTCTCTAGTGAAAAGCTCCACCCAGATGTTAATGGCCACAGCCAGTAAGAAAAGCAGTGTAACTTTTCCCCCAAAAACCCTCTAACTGTACAATGCATTCCTAACACCATTCTGCAGCATTGCTTCAGACTAACCCGGGGAAGGATGCCTCCGACTGAATCACCAATAGCAGCATCTGAAGCACTTGGATTTTTCTTTGGAGGTCTAGAGTCTTAGTGCTCAAAAGGCCTGATCCTGCTTAGTATAGTGAATACTTTCCCTTGGTCCGTTAAGCAAACTGATCCCGCAAGCTAGTCTTACAGTTCATTCAGTCTCTTTTCTCAGGCATTGGGATAATTACTAATACATTCAGCACTAGTTATTTAACTTTTTTCTCCCTAAGTTACTGCATGCTGTTCATTTGGATACTACTTTGCCAATTGCATGCATTAGAAGATTTTCAGGACTCCAGTTAATGAGAGTCAGCACATTCCTGGCATCTTTGCTTTCCTCCTTTGGGTCTCAGCTTTCTACACCTTTTCCAAGGCCACTGCTGTCTCCATTTCTGTTTACAGTTCAAAAACAGCATGTTTTGCAGCTGCTTCCTTTGTTCGTATTACCTTTCTCATCATAGTAAAGACTGGCTCCTGAAATCAGTTTTTCTCCATGTAATAGTAAATCCTTCTCATACTTGCCTGTTAGTGTGTCTCGATATATCTACAACCATGGCTTTTCCCAACTTGATTCTACTGACTATATTCAGTATCTCTCACTGCTCCTTTCTCTGTTCCTTTCCTTACACATTCCACATTTTCCCATCAGAAATTGATTTCCTTCTGCAGCTTTTTCTACTGCCTCCTTATAGCATGTGTTCAGCTGTCCCTTTCTATGCTAAACCATCATTGGCAGAACATAGCACTTTATATTATATATTTGTGGGTTATTTACTTTCTCAGCTCCTAGAGATATAATACTTTTCAACAGAAGCTACTCTCCTTTGAGGGTCTAGGGCAATAGAGTGTGTGTTATTCCTTGTAGTCACATATAAATTCTTTCAACTCATTGGGCCAGATCCTCACTTACTATAGATTAGTGTATTGCCATTGAAGTCAATGGGGCCAGGCTGATGTACATCAGCTGAGGATCTGGCCCATTATATATAGGAATGAAGCTGCAGGCCCTGAAAAAGCTCCCAGCTGGTACCAATCACAGCAGCTCATCTGGTTGCCAACACAGGTTGCTGTGAGCACATCATCCCAGTGCTTTATTCACTGTACTAGCTCTACATTAAATAGAGAGTACAGTTCAAGATCTCTCTTCTGATAGTGTAAATTGTTCATGGGGTTGTCCCTAACTACCTGAGAGGCTGCTTCTCTCTCCATGGCCATAACGTCCCATGACAGCTACATTCCAGTGTGGGCCAATGAAATGGTCAACCAGAGGAGGAGGAGGAGGAGGTGTGAGAGAGAGAGAACTTTCACAGATGCTGACCCTACGTTATTAAACTCCTTCCTGTAGCAGAAAAGAAGGAGTACAGTCCTCATTGCATTGAGAACTAAAATGTGAAGCTCATCTCTTCAATTTAGCTTTCCCTCTGTATGGTCTGTGTACATTCACACACATACCTACACAGGAAAAATAAAATAAAAATCAAGCTGTTTCTCCTACAGGCTGGGAGAGAGGAAACAGATTAGTATTGTTTTATATTTTTTTAAATATTTCTGAGGTACTCGGGATACTATGGTGATGAGTTAGGGAGCGGAGGGCATATAAATACCTAAGAAATATTTAGGTTAATATTAGAGATGGGTCCAAACGTCAAAGTTTGGATTCAGACCTGAATTTCTTCAAAATACGTTCTAGGCTCATCTCTAGTGAGGCCCTGATTTGGGATCACAGCATTTAAAAGTAGTTTTAGTAATGTTCTTCTCATATTACCATGTCCAAGTATTCTCCTGATACTGAAGTCTGATAAGATCTGAAGTCTTCTCTGCAACAGACTGCGGAGTCTTCGCTTGCCTTCATAGCACTAACTTGTCTATTATATTGGGAGACTTCCTGTATTATATGACTGTCCATTTTGTGATTTTCTATGGGGGTTTTTCCCTGTCAGATTATGTTTACTCAAAGACTTCTAGCTCCAATCCTTGGTGCACATGCTACGACATGTGATATTGAGGGGCAGAGAATATGTCCTCGTACTAAGAGGAGAGGGTTTTTTAGATGTCCATGAAATTGATTGATCACTTTTAACTGTGTATTCTGACCTGCCTGCCTACTATAGAATTTACATTACAATTTGATTATATTTAAAAGGCTAATTTAATAACTGACATTTCCCCCCTAAAAAGATATGCTATTCAAGTGGCTTCCTAACTTTAATAATGAGACACACTTGGGAGTTAAATCCGGCCCCTTCCTTTGTGATGTGGAAGGCTCCAGAGGCAGTGGCACCAGTTTGGTTTCACTGTGTAGGGTGACAGGATTTAAGGAACCCATCGGGCATGGAGCTCAACTCCACCCTGTTCAGTGGAGCTTGGGTAAGAGCTGGAGGTCAGAGTGGGAGCGGAGCTGGTGAATCTGCCAGTATGTGGATCATTGCACGCTACACAATTAGGGTCTTGTGCATGATGAGGGCTACAGAAACCGCAGGGAAGCTCTGCAGCATGGGAGAGATTCCTTCCCATGGAAAGCCCTGCACACAATCCAGCTACTTGGCCTTGTGGGATTTAGCACTTGATGTAAAAAAAACTGAAATAATGTGATGGATTTTTCTATCTGAATGATTTCTCAATTAAAAATAAAGTAAAACCTTTTGGAGTGTGTGTGTTTGGGAGGGTGACTTCAGAAACAAATGCAAAAGCTGACATGATTTCAATAGTGCAGAGACCGTGACAACTGACCGTGTTGTCTGTGCCTTTGTGCTGGGATCAGGATTGGAATTTATCCAGTTGGTGCTTCCAGATTGCATTTAGTATGTTCTTGTGTTTGTACAAATAACTTACTTGTAAAAATCTTATTTTACTTGAACAAATCTAAATAGTACGTTTGTCATTGGGGAGAAGTGTTCTATTGTTTTCTTTTAAAAAGAGGTATAATTCCCCCCCTCAAAAAAACCCTTATCTAGTTAACTAAATCTTGAAGAAATATAAAATATTTGTGTACTAATAGGCTTGACCCTGGAATTAAATATCATATAATCATGTCTGTCATGGGTTTTGTGTACAAGAATTGAAAGATTCTTTGGATTACTGTCTTAATTATAGTGTTGGCACTATATGACGTGCTCACTTGCTCTACAAGATATTTGTAGTAGTTAATAGTTATTTGTTTAGCTTAGTTTCTCACTTTGGCTCATACTAATAGCAGAAAGTATAGAATAGGCAATAGTGGAGTCATTACAGTTGCAGTGCTTAATTTGTAATGAAAGAGGTGCTGGGGTTCAAGCATTTTTTTACATTCATAACTGATGCGGCAAGCCCAGGGGTGCCAGGGCTGTGAACTGTCAAGCCCAGAGGTGCTGTGGCAAGTCCTGGCACAAATTAAGCACTGTAACAGTTGTAATAGCAGTTTGACACAGGCTGAAAGGGGAGATGATTTAGAAATACAGTAAAATGCTTTTCTTTTCGTAGAAACAAATAAACAAAGGATTAAATTACATGTAGCATTACATGTAGAACTCCAGGTGTTCAAAAATAATGTTAGGCCCCCTAAAATCATGAGATGTTAACAATACTACATTTGGGATTCTTTTTATTTGTATTGTGGATCTTAAGCCTCCTATTTTCAAGATTTTCTCCATAACTATGAAGGCTAGAAACTTGTTTTTAAATGAAAGTCATAATCCTATGACTCTGGGAGCTGGAGCTTTATGCAAAACTCCAACTATTGTGAAACTCACTGTAAATTCATGAGATCAGGCAACGCTTTTCGTACTCGGAGACGCTGGACGCTGTGGGGAGTGACAGGCTAACAAGATGGCATCGTCTTCATTTAAACTTGGGTTATAGTAAGATCACTGTCAACATTCACAACTCACCAGTTCCTAGTGCACTTTCTGAGTTCAATGCTGTAGAACTTCTTGGAATACTGAAGTGAAACTGTGTTACCGATTGATAAGACTATATTGTTCATTGTGTACATGCTGCCTTTTGTTCTATATATTTTTCCAGTATATATATCATCTTTCCTTTCCACTGCTGGTATGCTGCAATACAGTTTCATTATGCACAGGCCATTCTCTTTTTGTTCTGTTTTGATTTATTTTTCCTTTTAACAATTTTCTCTTTTTTTTCTTTTTTTCTTCTTCTCTCTGTCTCTTTCTTTGATCTACAGGCTTTGCAGTGTATGTTGGTCTCCCTTCATTCAGAACTTGACATTCAAAGGTACTTGATGAAAATTGAATCCTCTCAGAGAGTTAGTACTGTACTTTATTTTTATGCACTCTGCCTTGGATTGAGCCTGTTACCTTTTAACTGTGTGTGTGGTTTGCCTCACAACTAGTGTTAGTGTCCTTGAGTAAATCTGGATATGCATGCTTTTCCCTTTGTACTCCACCGTGGTGAAGTATGGTTCATATCAAGCAAAATGAGTACAGCAATCTAATGCATGTGGATCCTTTGACATTGTTTTAATTTCTGAGTTTGCCTCTAATGGCATGGTAGGCATAAATGTCCACACTCTTCTCTTGGTTAGATGCACCTCACTCCTTCAACTCAGTGGGAGTTGAGTGCATGTTGTTGAGGGGAGAATGTGGCCCCAATGCATTAATAACCACCTTAAAATGTGCTGATTTCTATATATATTGCATTATATATTTGAAGGGGTTTTTTTTGTTTTTGAATTAATTGAGAGATCAAACAGCTGCAGAAAAGCTGGCCTATGGAGTGAGGACGCTTATTTACCTATGTATGTTTTCGTACTTGCTGCAAAGGGATCATGTAGTTTGCTCTTTCTTGTGGTTTTGAAAGATATAAGGATGTCCCTTAATAGGACATTAGATTTTTGTGCCCCTTGGAGGGACATCCTTATGGGGCATACCAATGGAGTGGGGTATGGAGAGGGATACAGGGAATGGGAACATATACTTATTATCTTTTCCAATGGCTCCCAGCCCAATTTCCATACTGGATTTTATGTTCATTTGTTTTATTCAGGCCTCCTCACACTTGTGCCACTTCATAGTCGATTGTTACATCATAGAGCCATAGGAATGTAGGGCTTGAAGTGACCTTGAAAAGTTCTCAAGTCCTGCCCTGTGTGCAAGCAAACCTGCACTATCCCTGACAGGTGTTTGTACAACCTCTTCTTAAAAACCTCCAATGATGGAGATTCCACAACCTCCCTTGGAAGCCTCCAGAGTTTAATTACTCTCATAGTTGGAAAGTTTTTCCTAATATCTAGCCTAAATTTCTCTCACTGCAGATTAAGCCCATTACGTCTTGTTCAGTGGACATGGAGAACAGTTGATCACCGTCCTCTTTGTAATAGCTCTTAACATATTTTGAAGACTGTTATCGGGTCCTCCCTCAGTCTTTTTTTCTCAAGACTAAACATGTCCAGTTTTTTTAACCTTTCCTAATAGGTCAGTTTTCTAAGCTTTTTATCATTTTTATTGCTTTTCTCTGGGGACTCATAGACTTTAAGGTCAGAAGGGACCATTATGATCTTCTAGTCTGACCTCCTGCACAACACAGGCCACAGAATCTCACCCACCCACTCCTGTAACAAACCCTCTCCAATTTGTCCACATCTTTCTTAAAGTGTGCCACACAGAACTGCAGCTGAGGCCTCACCAGTGCCAAGTAGAGTGGGACAATTACCTTCCATGTCTTATATACAATGCTTCTATTCATACACCCGAGAATGATATTAGCTTTTTCCACAATTGCATCACATTGTTGATTCTCATTCAATTTTTGATCCACTATAATCGCTGATCTGTTTCAGCAGTTTCGCCACCTAGCCAGTTATTCCCCATTTTGTAGTTGTGCATATGATTTATCCTTCCCAAGTGAAGTGCTTTGCACTTGTTTTTATTGAACTTCATTTTGCTGATTTCAGACCAATTCTCTAATTTGTCAAGGTTGCTTTGAATTCTAATCCTATCCTCCAAAGTGCTTGCAAACCCTTCCCCTGCCCCAGTTTAGTGTCATCTGCAAATTTTATAAGTATAATCTCCACTGAATTATCCAAGTCATTAATGAAAATATTCAATAGTACTAGACCCAGCACTGACCTCTGTGGGACCCCACTAGATATGCCCTCCTAGTCAGCGCCGGCTCCAGCATTTCTGCCGCCCCAAGCAAAAAAAAAAGCCGCGATCAGCGGTGGCAGTTCAGCGGCAGGTCCTTCGCTCCTAGAAGGAGTGAGGGACCTGCCGCCCCCAAATTGCTGCAGGTGCCATCCCTCTCACTTGGCCGCCCAAAGCACCTGCTTGTTAAGCTGGTGCCTGGAGCCGGCCCTGCTCCTAGTTTGACAGCAAACTATTGATAGCTACTGCTTGAGTACGGTCTTTCCACCAGTTGTGAACCCACCTAATAGTAATTTCATCCAGACCACATTTCTCTAGTTTGTATATGAGAATGTCATGTGAGACTGTGTCAAAACCCTTACTAAAATCAAGATATATCTCATCTATTGCTTACCCACATTCACTAGGCCAGTAACCCTGTCAAAGAAGGAAATTAGGTTGGTTTGGCATGATTTGTTGTTGAGAAATTTATGCTTCCTATTCCTTACAATGCTATTATTCTCTAGGTGCTTATAAATTGATTGTTTAATCATTTGTTCCAGGATCTTTTCAGGAATCAAAGTTAGGTTCTCTGGTCTATAATTCCCTGAATCTTCTTTGTTCCACTTTTTAAAGATAGATACTATGTTTGTCCTTCTCTAGTCCTCAGGGCCTTCACCCATCTTCCATGATTTTTCAAAGATAATTGCTAATAGTTCCGAAATTGCTTTAATTAGTTCCTTAAGTGCCCAAGGGTGAATTTCATCAGGCCCTGGTGACTTGAATACATCTATCTTATCTAATTATTCTGTAATCTGTTCTTTCCCTATTTTGGCTTGTGTCCCTTCCCGTTTGTTACTGTTAATTGTGTTAAGTATCTGGTCACCATTCAGATGTCTAGTGAAGACTGAAGCAAAATAGGCATTAAACACCTCAGTCTTCTTGGTGTCATCTATTATTAGCTCTCCTTCACTGCTAAGTAGAGAACCTACACTTTTCTTCATCTTTCTCTTTCTCCCAATGTATTAAAAGAGCCTCTTCTTATCGCCTTTATGTCCCTTGCTAGATGTAACTCATTCTCTGCTTTAGCCTTTTTGATTTTGTCCCTACTTGCTAATGCTTACTCTTTTGTACTCCTCAGCAATTTGTCCATGTTTTCACTATTTGTAGGACTCCTTTTTGATTTTTCAGGTCATTAAAGAGCTCCTAATGGAGCTATATTGGCCTCGTACTATTCTTCCTATATTTCCTTCACATTGAGATAGTTTTCAGTTGTGCCTTTAATATTATCTCCTTAAGAAACAACCAACTCTCCTGAGCTCCTTTTCCCCCTAGATTTTCTTCCCACGGGACCTTACCTACTATTTTCCTGAGTTTGGTTTTTGAAGTCCATTGTTGTTATTCTGCTGCTCTCACTCCTTCCTTTCCTTAGAATCATGAAATTTATCTTTTCATGATCACTTTCATCAAAATTGGATTTAGAAACATGTATGTTTATGTATCCCTGAAATTGCTAGTGAGAAATATAAGATATTCACAAGAGTACCCTGAGATGACTAAACCATGGCCTTCGCAATCACACACACACATATGATTCACACTTAGAAAAGTTAACCCTACATTTTTCTGCCCTCCATTGAGCTCTTCCTCCACTTTGTATATGACATATATATAATTATGGGTGTCTCAACTGCATCTTTATAGTTTATTTTGCCAGCATATTTTGTGTGGTTTATATATGAATGCAGATTTAAAGCGTGTCCCAGAACGCTTTATACTTCAGTCAAATGCATAATCCTTCAATCCCATCAATATCACTTTATCCCATTGGTAAGAAACGGGACGTTTTGAGAGTGATCACACTCTGTGTTCTTTTTTACAGGGATATTAGGCATAATTTTTTTCTCTGTGTATACAGTGCATGATAGCCTCGTTTGTCTGTTTGTCCCTGGTATTATGACATTTGCTGACACATTTTATTTCCACCAATAGGACTTAAATATGCAAATAAATCAAGGAAGCAGACAGAAAGGAAAAGGGAGAAAAACAGAAGGGCAGAGGATGATAAAGAGAGGGGCAGCCTACTCCTCATTCAACAATGAGATGCCCATAGGGCAGCAGCAGAGGGAAAGGGGAGGGGAGAGGAAGAGTGTCAAATCTCAAGAGAGGAGAAAGGGAGCTGCTGTAATATAGGGTGAACAGTTAGCAAGTGTGAGAAATCGGGACAGGGAGGTGGGGGGCAATAGATGTCTGTATAAGACAAGTATCAGAGGGGTAGCCGTGTTAGTCTGAATCTGTAAAAAGCAACAGAGGGTCCTGTGGCACCTTTAAGACTAACAGAAGTATTGGGAGCATAAGCTTTCGTGGGTAAGAACCTCACTTCTTCAGATGCACTTGCATCTGAAGAAG